TCTTGCAAACATGTCTACTGGGTCTAATGTGTCTTTCTATGACAAAAATGCAAGCAGTTGACTGTAACGGTTCATTGCTTCGTCTCAAGCTGCTGAACTTCAACAACCCTCTTTCTCCTCCACCACTCCTTCCTCCCTTCCTCTTCTCTCTGCTGTTAAACGACCACCACATGAAAGAGTATGATGTAAGAACACCCCACTAAGCTAATATTGCTGTTTCAAAGCCGCCTCAACCCAGATGTTATTGGGCTTCATAACAAACAAAATTCATTATGTTGCTGTTTATTGCAGATTGGCTGACAGCTTCTAGAGTCATATAAAAGTCCACCATATTTATAATTATACTAATCTACTCCATGAACACTTACAATAACGCAATGACTTTCCCTTATCAACCACAATACACAATGAATGAGGTCAGCGAGTTAACCTTCAGCTGATGGCACATAATAATAGTATTAAAACAAAGCAGGTTTTATTGGAGCAAAGTGAAAAGAAGAGTGAAACAAATTAGTGCTCATTAATAAGTTACTTTAATGAACTATTTAATCCATATGAGCAAAGAATACTGCCGGCTTTGATGTTGACAGGGCTCTTCAATTATTAATTGCTTGATTCATATGCGTTTCCTCAAAACGTCTGACCCTTTACTAAATTCGGCGCTGTTAATAGAGCTCCAGCATTTCAAACGGGACAGAAAAATAGCACGTGTGATATTAAGCAGAATTATCTTTGCTTGCAGTTGCAAAAAATATATTTTAAAGTGGCGAAGAACAGACTTTTGCTTCGATAACCACTAGTGTCTTTACTGTCCCTGTTCAGATGTTTTACCATTATCTTTCTTTCTTTGGCACGAACCTCTTCACAAAATGTGGAGTGGCAATAAGAGAGAAAATAACAGATTATGTTGGTAAATAGGATCATCCAGAGCTAAACGCTGAATGTGCGATCAGGAGGGAGAACAGGATCCTTGGACAATGTGCAGGGCATGTGGACAAATAGTCTCACCTCCAACTGAGTGTGTTGTTTCTTCTCATTGTGCTCTCTGAAAGAGAAGAGGAGGGCCTTGCTTAAGAAGATTATAGCTCTACCCCACCCGTACGTTTAATCAACATGCCCTTTCAACGCAGACAACAATGCCAAACATGTCTAAAACGTCCCCCATCTCTCCCATAGCATACCTCACATGTTGGAACAGCATGTGAGTCATCTAACCTCAGCAATTAGGAGACACTACTGTGATTACTCTTACTGATACAGAGTAGGTGTAGGCAGATCATGTTTCCCATCAAATAACTGATGGCGTCAATTTCAGAAATGTCACCATCATAGTGCCGTGTTTGATACCAATCTAATTTCAGGCAACGTAAACAAAATTGTATTAGCTTCAACTCATTTTTGCTGATCAAAATTCCCGGAAGAATCCAAGGAGCTTTGCTTCCTCACCCTTAATTTCTTTCATCCACGGTTAAATATGTAAATAAAATGTCTAAAGTCATTCTTCAAAGGGGAACAAAAGAAAAAAGGGGGCTGAGGGGAAAGACAGCCATAAAATTCCTCCGATTCTCCATAACATTAGTCAGAGGGGGGCCAGCTTCCAGCCAGAGCCTAGCAGCAGGGGAGCGAGCGCGCTCCATAGAATCACACATCGCAAATCCCACACACACAAAAAATAATATATCTTTTCAGCTTCAGCCATCAAAGGCCCCCCCCTCCCTTTCACTTTATTAGTTACAGAATTATCTCACAGTTGCTGATTTCTCAGAGATGGAGCTGCACTGCTTTTTCTTCAACACACTGTGGTTTCATTTCATTTTCATTTCAAACCTTTATTTAATCAGATTGGTCCCTTGAGACCATAGATCTCTTTTTCAAGGGAGACCTGCAGCATATAGGTTCCACATGAAACATAAAACAATAAAGGACATCATACATTATATTTACAGGATACATTTACATAGTTATAGACATTTACAAGTGCCCATAGTATCAAAAAGCATTTCATTTAGCCTAGCTTTAAAAACATACAGAGGAATGAGATTGCTCAGTTTCAATTCTTGCTGAAGATTGTTCCAAGCAAGTGGCGCTGCGCACATAAAAGCTGTCTAAGACAGTCCTTGCTCTTGGCACATCTAACAATACTACATCATGCGATCTCAGACAATAGCTGCTTGCAACTCGCTGTGTTATCAGTGAACAGATATAATACGGGAGTTTACCCAACAAAGCTTTATAAATAAACGTGTACCAATGACTGAGCCTCCGTACAGTAAGTGATGGCAAACCTGCGGTGGTTGCAAAGATGAGATAAAGTTGCTGTGTGTGAGAGTGTGTTTGTGTGATGCACTTGTGTGAGTATAAGTAAGCTATAGAATCGAGCTGTATATGAAACAGGAGGTGGTAGACGGGAACAAATCATAAAGGAGACAGTAGCTGCTGAGGCTACGTATGCTAAAGACTGAACAGGCCTGATTCCTCCCCTTTTCTTCTCATTTTCAAAGAGATATCATCAACAATCTTAAAAGAGTGGGAGGCAGGAGGAAAGACAGGAGTGAGAACAGAACAAAGGCGATGAATTACAACAAACCAGTAGACTGTGTCTTCTTATTAGACTCTGTGACAGTATTATCTTGTCAGCCTTATTACACCAAAGGCGTATAATAGGCACATAATAGGAGCAGGTAGTTGCTTTAAAATATGCCAGACAGGGTTTCCTGGAAGCGCGATGATCAGTAAATGGAGAGCATAACTAGCCTTGGATCTGTGAACACATTGATATTACATTATTCTTCTTCACATTAAAGCTGTCATCTCTTTTTGTTCTACTTCTACACATCAACTAAACAATAAAAGGTCTAGTGAGGGAGGGCCAGAGCAGGCATGTCAGCTGTTGTCCTTGTCTTTGTGAGGGGTCAGAATAAATCAAATGCATGCTGCTTCACATCTGGGCTTTTTTGACAAAGGAAAATGTTTTGCATATCATTATGAATTTCCCACAAAACCGATTTTAACATAACACAAATGATTGCCAGTTTAAAAGAATGGTATACATTAGGAAAATAAAATTGTGTGCGAGCTAAATCCATTGTTACAAACCCATTAGCCTTGGCACTTTTTTTAGATAATCCGATGAGCATAGATGTTTTTTCCCTTGAATTTAGACCAAACCCTTTCAAATGTTAACAGCTGGATAAGGGGAATGGAGAAGCACATGTGCTGCATAGGAGGAGGGTATTGTGTTCATAAGTGTATTCATACCCTATATTTATGCTCCTGCTGCACACACTGAGCGCTAGCAGCTGAAATGCCACCACTGAGATATGCTGTGCTTAAACCATTTAGGCACGCTGGTGCCAGGTTTCTCATCTTACTCGGACACATTTCTAAAATACTTTTAAAATCACTTTGGTGACTCTTGTAAAAATGGACCTAAAGCACTCCTGTTTACTTGTGATCAGTATTTCACCCTTGATGAAGACCATGGCCAGGCTGGAGTATAAATCTTACCACCACACACTTTTTACAATGTAATGTGAGTGAGGTCTGGAGGATCTCACACACATAAAGAAAGGCAGAAGGCCTTATAAGCCCCTCCATCTTTTGATTTTCTTAAGCACTTATCCTGTTCAGGGTCACAGGGGGATGTATGCCGGACAGTTTACCATAGGGCTAAGACACATATTGAGGATAACACATCCATACTGATGGACAAATGGTAATTTGACTTGGTGTATGAGAGGCAGGTATAACGCAGGTAGTAAAAACATGGGGCAAATGCAAAACAAAATCCACTGACTCAATGTGCAATCATTACAAATTATCTCAAAAGAAAATAAACTAGAGGAAGCTTAACTAAAGCTTTATACACTTCCCACCCAACAGTGATGGTTTCGGTTTCTCTGCATGAGAACAATAGCCACTAGCTTTGGCACAGTGCTTTATGAATGCTGTTGAGCAATATGATTCATTACTTTATTTACTTAACCAATTAAAGAAATAGCTTTCTCCAATGTGTGAGAAAGATCCAAAGGAATTCAACCTTCGTATTTGTTTGCTGTACTACTTCCTTCACTTAAAAAAAAGCAGGAAATGAATGCAAGTGTTTGTCCTCCTGCATTCAACAATGTTTCTATGTTCAATGTTGGTCACAAAGGTTAAAGGTCAGCATATAATAATGTTAAAATGTGCTAAATATATACACTGCAAAAAACAAAAAAAAGAGGAGTAGCCCTCGACTTGTTTTATTTTTTTAAAGTAGCCCTCACCCTAAAAAAGGTTGGTGACCCCTGGTCTAAATGTTCAATGTTTACATTGTGTTAACAACACCCTTAGTATTACTTTTTCTAAACTGGTCAATGTGAAAGTCTCTGGGGAACAGAACAGCATCACCTCTGCTCTAGATCCATGCATATACAGTCAAGATGTAGCCTACAGTGAAGAAGCGACATCATGAATTTAGTTTTCCTCTGGATTATTTTTTCGCTTAAGGTATTCTTAGTTTAATTTAATGAAAAATGTTGATTGGACAATTTAGCCCATCTCGGACCTGCTATTCGAAGAAAGAGGTTGCATTGGTCCAAAACACAGGAAATGTGTAATTATAAAAAAAGCATGGATTGCACAAGTAAAAACGGTGAATAGTTGTTGTTATAGTTTAGCCTGCTCTTAAGGGGATGTCAAATGCTTTTTTTTAAATCACATGGGAAAGCAATCAAAGTGGCAAAAAAATAATAAACCTGCCCTGCAGTTACATGTGCGAAACATCAGTTGTAACCAAAACTGTGGTTCTGGTGCGCACTGCCAGGCATATTATGCACATGTTGGGGATTCTCATACAATTGTGTCTCTGTCCTGTTATAGTGGAAGTTTGCAGTTGAGCACAAACAAACAGAGAGAAGGAAGTTTGCTGCGAGCCTTTGAAACTGCTGTAATGAACAGGCTGTTCCGCACGATTTGAAAATAATCCGCGTGTCAGTGTCATCTTTCTTATGCAAAGTAGCTGTCTTTGAAGGCGGATCTTTTGGCAGGTTAGACCGGGACCGAGGCTCCGACCAGCTCAGACGAGCGCTGCCACCAAACGCATCAACTGCCTGCTTACGGGAGGAGCGTAATCCTGCGTTTCTGGGACACATTTATTAAGATCACAGAGGATATTTATTTTACTAATTTAGCTGACTTCTTCGCTGTTACTGGTGCCTTGTGAGCAGCGGCTTAAAGGACTAGAGGAAATAGTTTTTTGTGTGTTTTCCCCAAGTAGTCGCACAAGGACTGAAATCGCACTGCTGCTCAGACTGATACTCCGGAAAAAGTGACATGAAACGCGAGGACAGATGAGTGAGTATTTTGGGAACAAGAAAAGGACAAATCGGAAAACATTTAAATTCTCTTTTACTCACAGCTAGACTGATATGCACCGTGTAAAAGACTGAAGAAGTATCTCCAACACTTCAGCCACAGACTGAGCGCTTGAAAGCATGGACCTAAACGCACGCGTCTTCCAGCGAGAAAACATTTTCGGACCACAGTGGGATTTTTTTTTGTATTGAACTCTTGCACGCCTAAAATGTGGAAACGAGGATCTTGCACCAGATAGTTCTGTAAGTTATTTGTCACATTTGTCTAACACAAACAGTAGCCAGGTTTCATCACTGATTTTTTTTAATGAGAGAAACCTGTGTGATGTGTTAGTGGTGAACATTTGGCCTATATTTTCTTTAATTCAAGAGAGGGAAAATGCTTTCAACTGCTAAACTGAGCCTCATCTGTGTGCTGCTGGCCCTGAGGAGCAGTGGGGGGTCAGCCATTAGCTCAATAGACCCCGACTGGTCAGGAGAGGGGAGATGTCAACACATCAGCATCCCCCAGTGTAAAGACATTGGCTACAACATGACCCGTATGCCAAACCTCATGGGCCACGATGACCAAAAAGAGGCAGCGATAAAGCTGCAGGAGTTTTGCGACGCTGATACAGTTTGGATGCCACAGTCATCTCAAATTTTTCCTGTGTTCACTGTACGCTCCCATGTGCACAGAGCAGGTGTCCAACCCCATCCCAGCATGCCGAGTTATGTGTGAGCAGGTAAAGGTGAAATGCTCACCCATCTTGGAACAATTCAACTTCCCCTGGCCCGACTCCCTGGACTGCTCCCGGCTACCAACCAAAAATGACCCAAACAACCTCTGCATGGAGGCGCCCAACAACGGCTCAGATGAACCTCCCAAAGTCTCTCACACCCAGCCTCCAGACTACAGGCCACAGCGGCCTCTGAGCGGGCAGGATGTGCACTTAAAGGACAGCATCAGCAAGCAGACGTGCAGCAATCCTGGCAAGTTCCACTTTGTGGAGAAAAGTGAGTCATGTGCCCCTAAATGCTACCCCAAAGTGGACGTGTACTGGAGTCAGGGGGACAAGCAGTTCTCTCTGGTGTGGATTGCCATCTGGTCCATCCTCTGCTTTGTCTCCAGCGCCTTCACTGTGCTCACTTTCCTCATAGACCCACAGCGCTTCAAATACCCTGAGAGGCCGATCATCTTCCTCTCCATGTCCTACTGTGTTTACTCTGTGGGTTACCTAGTAAGACTTTTTGTAGGAGCTGATAGAATAGCCTGTGACAGAGACAATGGGGTCCAGTATATTATCCAAGAGGGTCTGGAGAGCACCGGCTGCACCATTGTCTTTCTTATCCTGTATTATTTTGGCATGGCCAGCTCCCTCTGGTGGGTTATCCTGACCCTCACATGGTTCTTGGCTGCAGGGAAGAAGTGGGGTCACGAAGCCATCGAGGCCAACAGCAGCTACTTCCACCTGGCAGCATGGGCCATCCCGGCTGTGAAGACCATCATGATCCTGGTGATGAGGAAAGTGGCGGGGGATGAGCTGACGGGCATCTGCTATGTGGGCAGCATGGATGTCAAAGCTCTCACAGGCTTTGTGCTTATTCCTCTCTCCTGCTACCTTATTATTGGCACTTCATTCCTGCTGTCTGGCTTTGTTGCCCTCTTCCACATCCGTAAGATCATGAAAACAGAAGGAGAGAACACAGACAAGCTTGAGAAACTGATGGTTCGCATCGGGGTCTTCTCCGTGCTCTACACCGTCCCGGCCACCTGCGTTATCGCCTGCTATTTCTACGAGAGGCTCAACATGGACTACTGGCGCATCCTGGCAGCGGAGCAGAAATGTGTCGACAGCAGCGGGCCGGAGTCGGACGAGTGCGTCATGAAGACTTCCATCCCCGCCGTTGAGATCTTCATGGTGAAGATATTCATGCTGCTGGTGGTGGGCATCACTAGCGGCATGTGGATCTGGACCTCAAAGACACTGCAGTCATGGCAGAATGTGTTTAGCAGGAAGCTAAAGAAGAGGACAAGCAGGAAGGCTGCAAGTGTGTTCACCAGCAGCAGGCCTTACATCAAACCTCACCCATCTCTCAAAGGGCACAGTACAAAATATGAGCCTACACGGCCCCCTCCAACATGTGTATGAGCTAGCTCTCTTTGTTTAAACCCAAAAATACGTGTAAAGCCCTTAACTAAATGAGACTATGTAATCAGAGTGCTATCAAAATAATCAAGGTTCATGTTTTATTTATGTTAACTGCGTTAAAAATAATGCAACATGGGTTTTTTTGTTTGTCTTGAGCCATCTCATGCAACAAGAGCTGCCTTTCTTTGCGGAAAAAAACGTATTCTTCTGGATTCACTTAAGGAACTTGGTAAAGAGAAAACAAATCTTATTGTCTCAAGACAAAAAGAGTGGGAGTCACTTGAATAATGCGCAATAGATGTTTTCCTTACAGGCAAAAAAGACACTTATACTGTTAGTGACAGACTACAGACAATGACAGGACCCCACAGACTATGGAGGCATATGGTCAGAAGGATAAGTGTTGTGTTTGGAGGCTTTTTAATGGAAATCGAGGCAGTGTCATACATGTTTGAACTGGAGTGAGAGCAGCTGTTGAAAATACCTTTCTGAACTGCCCATTATGAGGAAAACCCATTTCATAAAATTAATCAAGCCCTCATTATTGAAAAGTTATTTGTACATTCAGTTATGTTTCCCATATTTTTTCTTTGCCGTTTTAAAGCACAAGGGAACATTTGTATATATTTCTAAAAACTTCAGATTTTATAGAAAAATTAATAAAACGTTCTAGTTTTAAATGTTTGTAATGCCGTATTTTTGTGTTAAAATTGTGTTTATTTCCTATCTAATTGAGTCTCTATGTTAATACAGCCGCATAAAGCTTGTATTTTTACTATTGCAGCACTTGTACTTTTTGCCACCCACAGTTTCGTAGCAATCAAGCGATCAATACATCGTAAAAATTCAAATAATTTTCCTCAATTTGTGAATGTTATTGAATGTCATAGCTGGGTTTAAACATTATGTTTGTTACTAAGAATATCTTTAAATATAATTTACGGAGATGCAGATGTTTATCTGATCAAAAGGGGACAAAACTAACTTTATACTATAACAATAATATTAAAGACCAGTTCAGATCAGCTTATAAATGTTGTACATGCACTGTATATTGTTGCTATAGGAATAATGTGCACTTTTACATATAAAAAAGGCTTGTTACCATGCTTGACACATTGGTTTATAAGTCAGCACGCACAGAAAGCACAAAAAGCGGCATCCCTCTTCTTGTTTTTAAATGTTTGTAAGGAAATATTGGCAAATGAATGTTAATGCCCAGTGGCTTGACAACTAACAGTGAAGCAAAAACAGGACAAACTTAGTAAAAGGGAGTGTCCAGGGTCTCCCATTTGCTGTTTAAATTCAGGCCTCAAAGTCACAAATACATATAGTTTGATATTTGTTTAAAATGACAATGTAAATTATATTCACTTTTTATTTAATGGCTATTAGTTTTGCACACTTTTTGATGAGAAGAAGCACCTTAAAACAGTGTGCAGAATTACTCCCCGATTTGAACCAATATTCATAAGATAAAAAGGTTTAGTAGTGGTTTTGTCCAAATGACAAATGAACACTTTTGTGTGTTTTGTTAACTAAAATGTCACATTTTATATAGCTGTGGTTTACATGAGGGTGACTTGAATGTTTATTTTTATTTCCCACACTGCCTCAGCTGAAGTGGATATACACCTTCATTGTAGCCCCCACTTTCCCTCTCTTGCTCTCTCTCTCTGTGTTGCATGTGCCGGTGCGTATCAATGAAGGGGTTATACAATAATCCAGCTCTCATTCAGGACAGGATTAGACCGTTTGAAGGGGTTTGACTTTGAAAAGGGGATCGCAGCAAACCAAAAATACAAAATATCTGTCATCTCTCCTCTTCTTATCAGCCCGGCATAGTGACATTTCTAAAGACACATCTGGCCTGGATTTGAAGAAGTTACATATTGACTGAAGCGGCTTTGTCAAGCATGAGCAAACTGAATACATTTTGTGGTATCCTAAGATGTTTGGTGTTAAACGATCCTAACGCTGTCAACAACTTTAAGATATACTTTCTGAGAGCCACAAGTCTAGTCTTGAATCTTAGCAATGACAATTCAATCAATCAATCAATGAATGTTTATTTATATAGCCCAATATTACAAATGTTACATTTGTCTCAGTGGTCTTCACAATTGTTTCTGTCTTGACAGTGCTCTCAGAGCAAGTGCAAGTACATGTACAAGTGAGTCAAGACAGCACTACATTTGCAAGAATAATGATATATGTGTGAGAATAATAAGTATGAATGTAGAATAATGTAGTACAAAACCTTTTCTACCTTTTATATCTGCCTCACTTTCAAAGCTTTTTTTGAAAGTCTAACACCTATGTTAGAGAGTCCTTTCTGGTTTAATAAAGTTTCAGAAGTGTAGTAATGCTTTATCCCGGAGGGCATTCAAGTTCCAGCACCAACCCAACCCGTTTTAACAGTCAAAAGCACATGACTCACTCTATGTGGCTGAATCAAAGTCAGCCAGTGTCTATTGATACTCTGAGTTGCGAGAAAGGTGTGAGTGCTTCTGAGAGCTTCAACAGAGGCCACCTGGATAACAGCCCCCGAGGTGTCTGGGAAGGCTGTAAATATAAATGACAGTTACCACCCCCCTCCAGGGCTTCTTCAGCCAAGCAGCCTTCACTTTTCTTCTTCTGCTCTCTTCAAAGGAAAAAATCCTGCTCAGAGCAAGGACAAAGTATTGCTGGCAAGAAAGTTTTTTTTTAAATCAGACTCACTTGTGTTTATTGCTTTTCAAAGTATAGATCCTATAACATCAGATCACAGTTTTTGAGCCAAGTGAAAGATCTTTTGTCTGGTGTTGATGATCATTAAATGTTTCATCAATGACAGGCCAAATGCCATCGTCACCCCACACTCATCCACTTTCTGTTGCTCATTCTTTCTGCAGCGCCAAGTAGGAGATAGCAATGTCTGTGTTGGCTTATGATTCGTTGACAAAAAGAGCTTCTGCTGTGATCAGTGTTGTTGAAACAGCATCAAACCTCTGATTATAACTTGATTTAATTTAATCTGACTGGTTTGCCAGCAAGCCAGGATTTTCAGCTTTCCACACTGTAATTGAGCTGATGTTAAGTGTCTTTGTGGAACCAAGCATTATTGAAACATAGAGTTGAAATGACAGAACAAGTAAGCCTCCTCTGCATGTCAAAGGCTAATTCAGATGGAAATCAGCAAGAGAACATCATCACGAGTCAAAACTTTAAAACTACGCTTTTCTATCAATAAATGACTACACCTTCTTCTTTATGCAATGTTATTGTATGCAGGGTGGTGCAGGAACCTGTGAAGCTTTACTTTGTCTGCTGTTTGTGCAAACACTCATAAAGTCCTCTGACACAGTGACATAAATCAAGTTGCCTGGATGAGTGGCGTCTGAGGCAGCCTTTCTTTGATCAGGCTTTGTGGAGACACCCCATGTCCTCATCCTCAGCTGCTCCAGCAGCACCTGTTTACTAGTTCAGACCTGTCTGTTTGGAAAGCAATGCTTAGCCTCTCAATGTCAAAAACTCATACATGACATACACTCAACATAAACACAAAGGAATTTGGCCAGCGCTGGGAGGTGGGTGGGTTTTTCCAACAAGTATGAATGCTTGTAATGTGCTAGACCCATACCCATTCTTGGTAATTGTTTCTCTTATTAGACAGCCGCTCTAAATATGAATGTGTCGCCCTTTTATGAGGTTTCTGCCTCCTTTGGCTCTATCAGATATAATAATTATATATAGAATAGAACAATTCATCACAAATGAAACATCTTTGTTTTCCTGCTTAAGAAGTAACTTGAAGTGAGAGGAAGAACACAACTTTACAGGGAGAGCTGCACGTTTCACAGACCAAAGTGTTATCAGAGAATGCAATGAAAGCACCCTTTCTTCCCTCAAGTTCTTCTGGTACATACATCCAGAGTTCTGAGGATTATGGTTGAAGGAGGTGTGGGTGGGCTTCTATTTTGAATTGATCTATATAGCAAAGAATCTAGGGCATTGTAAGAGTACTGTATGCCCAATATGCAGTAACAGGCCATGCTTACAGCACACAGACACACACACACACACACACACACACACACACACACACACACACACACACCAGTCTGCTGATTGTTCCCAGCCACTGCTGAAGGTGAGAGTAATTACATAAAAACCTGGCAACAATGAGTTTGCTCCCTGCAAGGCGGGGGCAGGGCACCTTTTTTCAAATGCATAATGAACTGCCTCACAGGCCCTCTGCTGATCAAACAAGTGTTTGATAGTGGCTTTGGTTTGAAAGAGGACTGCATATGTTTATTTGCATGTGGAGAAGTTAGTGACTTTGAGGTGGAGATCAGGCAGATTAGTGTTAACTGACAGAGACCTGTGCAAACAGACACTCCCCCTGCATACAAGCAGGGCAGCGGCCGCTTCCTCGGAGGACTAGTTAGGCTGAATGCAACATCAGACAGACAAGAGCACGGCAACTCCTGCTACTTTTCAGACATTGTTCTTTGTATGCTAGTCTCCTCCCCTAAGCCTCACTCTCTTCTTTCACAGATTTTGGCTTGTGTGGTTTAATGCAAGTGAAAGCATGCAAGCTAATAGCTGGCAAACTACTTTTATGAGAGATGAGTAGAATAATATATGGCCGCTAATCATCAAAGATAGTTTCTTAGAGTTTACAATTAGAATCTCTTTTCTTCTAAAGAGTAATACCTCTATGGGAAACTGAAACATATACTGTAAAAAATATGAAAATTGGATTACAGGTGAAAGGGGATTTTCTGAAGATTGTTGACATTATCAGTCCAAACAATCTCATCAAGATGTAACCTTATTTCAGGCATAAACAGCATCTCTTACCATACACTTACTTTGTAATGCTTGTTGTTCTATTACCTAAAAGAAAAATCAACAGGTAAGAATTGAAATTTGCTGATTTCGTTATCAAACTGAAATGAAAACACTCCCATGTCTATATGCTAAAAACAAAGTGATTCCAACCAATGGTAAATGTAGCTTAGCATATAGGGGGGAAAGCTAGGCCCAAAGGTAACAGCACCTCTAAAGTTAAGATTTAGTTTTGGATGAAAGCCAGGTTAGCTGTTTCGACAAAAAGACATGATGGAGTGGTATTAATCTTCTCAATTTACTTGTTGCAAGAAATGGAATACGTAAGTAGATCATGATGTGTATATGTTGTACCGTCAAAATGAATGATATCAAACATTCAACATTTTCAGAGCATCCATGTGCATAGTGACTGAGAAGGCAAGGACTTGTGTGGTTGTAGATATGTGAATAGTCTGGTATCAGCTAGAAGCAAGGGTTTCTCCATGGTGATTTAGCAGCAGACTCTAATCTGCCACCTTCCTAATCCACACTGCAAAGAACTGTGATCATATTTAAACACAGCAGAGTTACAGGAGTGGGGAGGGGGGCGGCATTCCTTTGTTGGCAGACATTTTCAGAGAGACACCCCCGCACATATACAACAACAACAATCTTGTTTATGCTCACGTCCAGAAATTCAGATTGAGAGTGACTTGCTGTAGGAATGTAATGAATTCAAAAATGATATCTCATAAGCACACATAAGTATTCAACTACATGTGTTTGTCAGTGAATGGGTGCACCTACACTGTCACATGTAAGTGGCATTTTTCTAGAGATGTTTTGAATGCAGTGACAGGATTGATGGTGGAGTGGAGAGCGTGCGCACAACAGGAGACTGTCTACATGTGTATATATTTTTGAGTGGTGAGTTTACAGACAGTATATGAGCTATAGAGGGATAGACAGAGGCAGAGGGATGATGATGGATCTGGCAGGGCTCATGAACACCGCCGGGAGAAAATGCCCGTGGTTCAAAGACACTCTCAGCAAAGTTAACAGAGAAAGATGGCACAGAGGGGGAGAACATGAAAGGAAACTACACAATCAGCTGTCAGATAAACTGGGAGAAAACATCCTGGCCCTGCTGGCAGAATATACTGTATGCAGACATTTGACTATTTTAACATAAATTAGATGGACAGCAAAATAGCGCTACTACTAATATCCATTTAATGTTAACTTTAAGACGAATTTAACAATTGTGTGTGGAAATCTACACTAAAAAACACAATGCAACCTATGCTGGCAGATAATATACATCAACCCCCTAATTATGGACATTTAACTTTGCAACAGAAAATGTTCAATGCAATTTAATGATATTTTCTTAGAAGTATCATTATCATCATAATAAACTGAAATCACCACATTTAAAACTCATATCCTGATTATGCAGAAGAATGTCCCTTGAGTAATTTATATTATTATAATTATAGAAATGCGTTAGTATCACTGACATATTAACATGAAAGTAGTGTTTACTATTGTAGCTAGTCAAGGTGGAGCTTATTAGCATTTGCATTTGGTTATTTTATTTAATTCCCAGAACTTAGACCAATAAATCCCAATGTTGGTAGGCTACAATTGATTTGAAGCCACGGCCTGTGGCTGGTTAACTTAGCTTAGCATAAAGATTAAAGGTATATTTTGTTCCCATTGTACAGAACCAGTCCTGCTGTTTCCCAGTGTTTGCAATCTTTTTGCCAAGCACATTTTTACCATTAAGTACAAGTATGCCAAAATGGTATGCAAATGCTTTACTTGTACTGTGATCCACCACTGAAAGCAGCACAACAAGCTGTATTTGAGATCTTCATTCCAATGCATGAACACACGATGACGCCAGGAAGAATCAAGCAAGTCAGCTGGTGTTTACTTTATATCCACACTTTAGGTATTTGTGTTTATATGTTGGAAAAATACAAGGTAACACAATTCTAATGTTTGTCAGCTTACTTGTGTTTTTACTTTATAGGTTTTTTCCACATTCTCTTCAGTATGACAACAATCCCCACAGCTTGCAGAGTCTTTTTTTCTTTCTTTCTTGAGGCATCAAGTTAATAGGAATGGGCACACACAATAAATAACATGTGTCGGTCTACAGCGGGCCAACACAATGTCCCATTTTGCTCCCAGCTTGCTTTTTGCAGTGACAGGACTGGAAGCAATTTGGGGTAAGTATCGAGGAACAGTCGAGGAGATGATAAATGACTCTATTGTTGGATTGTGTGACTGTATCTGATACAAGTGCACATGTTCCTTTGAGTAATCAAGCTATAGCATGGCAAAGGAATCTGTGTTTCCCGGACACTGGTGGCGGGCCAGATTGTCTGTTCCTGATAATAGTAATGGGAGTGATGGCAGCAGCGGTTAATCTACACTGAGAAGGGGTCAGGACCCACCTATCTGGCCTGAGTGGAAAATAACAGCCCACTTAAATCTGTGATTGCAGTATGACAACCAACACGGATGCCCCACCACTGTCTTTGTTTACATAGTGCCTTGCTGGTTTTGAGGCACTATTTCACATTGAGATGGTTTTCCTGAGCTTTTGATGTGTGGCTTGAGGCGGCCCGAGGTTTGTTTATATTCGTAAACTTGTCAACACTTTAATAAGAGGCACTTGTATTTATAGTTACGATGGGTTAGGAAAGTTTCCAAAAGATTTACTTTATTATTCATGTCAAAGTCTTCAACAACAGATGTTGCGTAGCCAGCATAAAAAAATTGTAGTCCATAAAACAGCTGTCTTAAGTGAGAGAGCCCAAGTCAAAGGCATGCCATTGCACTCTTTGTGGTTAGGGTGTTCCACAAAAGCATGCAAACTATGTGTTCACATTTTTTACTGCACAACACCTGCACATTATGCTCATGAGTACAGGGTAAACAGAGTATAATAAGCAAGATCGGCTGACTTGGAAATTAACTAAATGTACCTCTGTTTGATAATTGCCTCAGGTCAGGACAACACTTTGAACACACAAAACAACATGAAGACAAGCCTCTGTTCTGTTTCTCTTCAAAGGAGAGAAAGGAGCAGTGCTGCAGACAACAAAATGCTCTATTAGGCCGGAAACACATGCCTAAATGTAGATGGGGATTGAGCTGATGGGTGTTGCTCCTGTAGGAATGCTGCTCTGGTTGTGGCCTGTACTGGGAGGGTTTATATGCAATACAGCAATTAGTTTTGTCTTTATGACTGATATAGTTAGTGCTGTCTGCTTTCGAAACAAATTCTAACACATTGATGACTAATCCTTTTCACCCTCATCCAAATACAACTTGTATGTGTGTGTTTTTCAACCCAAATGTCTGTCACAAAACTTCACCACTTTATATAGCTATTTTAACCCTTAACATATTTGTAT